CTAAACCCCAAACTATAAAAGAGACTAACTTAACTGGTTGGACTGAGAACTGATGGAACTCCCAAGACTATGGTCCCCAGTCACCCTTTAGATCTGGAAATGAACTTACCCGTGTTAGAACACCAACCATGGGCAACATTTACTCACGGAAAAAGTAGAAAGTATTAAGAAAGGAGGGCTAGACACAGAAAACACAGGGAGGAAGTGAGTAAGTGATGGTACATTTAGGGTATTGTAGTGGATGAGTTGAAACAAAAGGTGTACGAACTGTTAAATGTAATGCTGATTATATGCTTTAATTCACAATTAAAAGTTTAAAGGTAAATAAATATAAGCCTCTTATTAAAGGGCAGGGGAAAAAGATGGTCAACATTTTTACCCACAGACCACTGCTTTCACAAATAGTTACTGCCCAACTACTCATCAAACTAAACACACTGCTATCTAACTAATACCAACTCACAGGGTTTCTCAGTCTGTAAATTTTATGGGAGTAGAGCGCCTCATCTTTCTCCTGCTAGGCAGCTGGTGGATTTGAACTGCCAGCCTGCAGTTAGCATCCAATGCTTACCCAACAATGCCACATGGGCTCCTTGCTAAAAACATCAAAATCATTGACATCTACAAACCCTAATATCACAAAAGTAAAGGCACTTAGAGCGCCATTTTGAGTCTTACAAACTTTAATTAAATCACAACTGGCACCCTCTGTGTGACCATTAGCAGCACATCCTTTCAGGATGGCCATTCTCTCAAAAGGAATAGGGATGATGAAGAACACAGGGATTCCCATTAAATAACATTTCCAATCTACTTCTCCAACTTCACTGCCCATGTTGGACACTTGAACTGGCTCTCACAGCTTCCATTTCCAGCTTCTATTTTTTGAAGTGGCTAGATGGCTAAGAATCACTTGCAGACAAAGTGCTGGACTGCTAATTGAGTGCACCTGAAGGAGATTTGAAAGGCAGGTGTTCTCTTCCTATGGTGGGGGCAACTGTGTAATAACATGGAGCAACCAGAGCTTGCTCCCTTTCAGTCTCCTAGTTTTTCAGGCAAGAAGCAACCACAGCCGTTAAGTAGTGTGATCTTGAAACATGAAGTCCAATAGTGGACCCTTGCCTTTGCTCTTCCAGCCCTTCCAATGTTTTTGTAAGTACCTGATTCCTTATGTTCCTTTCAACTAAAAATAGTTACAATGGGTCTATTTCCTGCCCTGAACCCTGTCTTCAATTGCATTAAATTACTTCAGATCTTACTCTCTGGCAAGGAATCCCGGGTGATGGTGCAAATGATCTGTGCTTGAGTTGGCATGTGTTTGTTTCAGTTCTCTTGTTTGGACCACTGTTAAACTACTTCTAAGTTGTTTGCCTAAAGTCCATGCCATTCCAGCTCTTCACCTGCTCTGGCACCCGAATCTGACGATGCTGAAGAAAACTTAAAAGACAGAAGGGGGCGTATGAAAATATCGCCTGTTCTTTCACACACTTTGTCTGTGTATGCAACTGAATGTGTCCTTTAATTCTTTCTCCATCTGGTGAAATCCCATTCCACCTTTAGAACCTACCTAATCCAAATGAGACTCCTGTGAATTTTTCTGAGCGGGGTCACTCCACGCTCCCTCCCTATATGTGCAATTTTACACACCCTGCCCCCAACTGTGCTCATTCATTCAAGACATATGCTGAGTTACATCTACCTCCCCTATGCCACACATTGTACTACAGATACAGCTCTAAGCATGAAAGGTATGGCTTCTCCTCTCTTGCAGCTATAATCCAACAGGAAGATAGGCCGTCCAGTAATTGTTTAACTGAGGTTTAAATTATACTTATGGTAAGTATAATGGAAGATTCAAGGCAAAGGGCCCTCTAGCTCCCATAAAGTGCTACCAATAACCAAGAGAGCTGCTTGAACACCCCCCCACCCCCGCCAGTCACGAAGGCAGCTAAAGAGGAAATGCAGCTCCATCTGGCTGTTCTTATTCCACAATTGCTCAACAAATTTAGAAAGTGTAGATTCGAGAGCAGAAAAAGCTGGCACCTATGTTATCCTTTTGTCCTTCTTGTACTTCCTACGTACTGTCAATTTAGGAGACACGCACTGATGACTCAGTAAGAAAATGTTAAAGCCCACCTGACATACCTCTGCCAACAAAGCAGGGCAATCTCTAGCCCACTCAGGCCTTCCAATTTTGTACAAGCCCTTACAGGTCAGAGGAAATGGTACTTCTTGAAAGAAAACTAAAGCAGCACCCCTTAAATGAAAAAAGGTAACCAGAAGAATAACTTCAAAGTACATGAAAGGCTATGTAGTTCATTAGACCCAGAGGAAATATCAATACAGTACATATATATATAGAATGGAATCTCTTTATAATAACTGCACTACAGAATAAAGCCTTAGCATGCCTTTTAGATGTACATTGAATCAGAATCACTAACTTACAATGAGGATTCCAGTCCAAATCTACTATGTTTAAATTTACAAAGAGTTCAATTCCTGTCCAGTACATCAATTACTACAACTATGAAAGCCTAATTAAACCATTAAGTAGCCCAAGTTGTGATATTTTTTCCTGAAAGAATATAAAATCATGGGGGGGAAATGTGTATGTTTATACTAACATGACTAGATTTAGCAGCAATCCAGGAACCAATCTTTGCGACCTGTTAACTGTGGGCTTCATGTCCTTCAAGTTGCACCCTTGAGCTTTTAACACTATTCTCTCCTCACCCACTTCCTCCACTTCTCAAAAACCAAATAAACCAACCAAAGTAACATTTAAAAAAACAAACTTTTTATCTACTGGCTGCAGTGCTACGGTATATACGCTGGAGGTACTAATGCAAAAAATGAGTAAAACTAATGCTTCTTATTCCTCAATGTCAGAAAAGGTAAATTTTTATCCCTAGTTTGCGAAGTACATGATTCTCCTCCCTTTCCCCCCCAAAAAAAGTGCTAACATGTGATAAGTAATGGCTTTTTAATAAAAATTGATAAATGATTTTGGGAAGTATTAGTGAAACCCAATTTAATAAAGTACTTTTTTGAGGGTAATTTAAACACAAATTATTGTCAAATTATCTCTACACATAAAATCTAATTCCTGAAACTGACACTATTCAGTTCTCAAATAGATTTCATGCTCACTTGCATTTCTAATTAACTGTTATTATAGTTCCCAAAATGAGAAAATTGCATACTGTATGAGCTCGGCTCCTTTCTTTTTTCTGGCCTTCAAAGGCCCTCTTCAGAGTTTGACAGATGAGGGATGAGTACATGACTTTCAGTACCGAACAGTATTTCCAAAGAACCACACACAAAATCAAGAATCAGGTATCACAAATATTACAAGAATCAGACATATTGTTTTCTTAACTCATCATACAAAAAAAGGCACCCCAAACAAATAAAAATTGATTCAAGTTATTATACCATATGGTCTGGTCCCAGTATTGCCGCATGAACCAATAACCTCGTATCTGTTGTGATAGTGAAGTCACTGGCTAATGCTGTGTGGCAACTGAAACGTGAATCATTTATACAGTATTAAGAATACAGTTTCAGGAAAAGTCTAAATCAAACAATGCTGGAGTCATAAATGGCATTCCCAAGCACTGACTCTCCGGCTTGGAAAAACTACCTATTTCTCACAGAATGAAGAAATAAAACAATTTACAAAACAAGCTTTTTCCTAACCATGGGAGATGTTCATTTTTTAAATCTCCTAAACATTTTTTTCCCTTGAGGTTACTTAGAAGGCATTAAATATAAATCAGATCTTCAAACCCAAAACATATAGGCTAAAAATAGTGTGTATCTATTTCAAAGGCTGAGGCAGAAGCCCTTCCAAGTGAATAAACTAAAATTGGGTTTTTTTCCATCTCTGGACCTTTAGAATGAACCTTCAACGTTACTGTGGCACACAAATTGGTGCCCACATATTCTCCTTCAAAGCCAGCTGGTCAAAGAGCATCTATGAAATCTCTGGGCGCCTAAGCCTCGAGTCTCGTGCAAAGGAATTCCTCTTCGCTCTGGCTCACATCCAGACTTAGAAACAGCACCTCCACAACGACTAACGATCAACTCCGATCATTTTCTTAGGGGACACTCCACACCCCCTCCCACGCCCCACGTCAAAGAACCACTATCCTTTTGGAAGCAAAGGAAAGAGCTCTGTACAAAAACTAGTCAGGTGGACAGCAGGTAGGCTCCACCTAAGAACCCGAGCATCTCAGCCCCGACAGGAAGGACGCGGTCGCAGGGAGGCCGCGGCGGGGACCTACACCTAAGGGGAGCCCCACCCAAGGAGGTACTGGTGAACATTGGTGAGTGCAGAGCAACCCTTTAACCCTCAGCCCTACCCAGGCCGCTGCCCCAACCTCGCGCCAGGCCCGGCCCGGTGGAGGGTCCGAGGGTGGCAACCCAGGACCGGCGCTGCCGCGGGCGGGGGCCAGAGACGGCGCCCCGGAGGCTGACCTCGCAGTCTCCCACGGCAGAGGTGGGGGTCGACTG